TGATCAATTCAACAAAGTCTTAGTTTATCTTAGGAGTAGTTTATCAGATGACTAGAAGAAATTTATAGTTGTACGATTCGTTTTGTCAATGTTCTTCTACGACCAATAGCACCACTTAATAATAATAATAATAATATTTTATTACAGTTAGTAAAATACAATGTTATTTGCATTGGCGAAGGAGCAACTTCAACTCAAACCATTGTTTTTGTTACTGCACGTATTGTTCAAAGTACTGACATTTCAAAATACCCTCCTGTGTGAATGATTGCATCAACAACAGGGATTCCTCAAATTAAACTACACCAATGTGTAGTTCAGGGAGCCCGATCACGGAACCTTTAAATGTTTATGTGGCCCATAACCGTTTATGGTCCCACGTAGAGCTTAAACTGACTAATAAATCATACAAGAGCCAAAATCTTTTTGAGGTGAGCAGCAGCCAGTTAGTGAAGGATCCAGGTGTAGGTGTACCGTGCTTTTTTGTACTTAAATGCATGAAATGTTTATTGTGGAAGACAGGTATTTACTGGGATTTATTTACTGAGATTGACTGCTGAATACAGGTCGAGCCAGTCAGAGGCAAGTGGTCTGCTTTGGCAATCACTGAACTGATTTGATTTGATTTTGATAGATAGATTGATCACTCGATCGCTCGATAGATAGATAGAAAGATGGATAGCTCGATCGCTAGATGGATAGATAAATCGCTCAAGAGATAGATCGATCGATCACTTGATAGATAGATCGATCGCTCGATAGATAGATCGATCGCTCGATAGATAGATCGATCGCTCAATAGATAGATAGATAGATAGATCGCACGATAGATAGATCGCTCGCTCGATAGCAAGATCGATCGCTTGATAGATAGATCGATCACTCAATAGATAGATAGATAGATGACTTGATAGATAGCAAGATCGATCGCTTGATAGATAGATCGATCGCTCAATAGATAGATAGATCGATTGCTCGATAGCAAGATCGATCGCTCAATAGATAGATAGATAGATAGATAGCTATATCGCTCAATAGATAGATAGGTTGCTCGATAGATAGGTCGATCGCTTGATAGCAAGATCGATCGCTTGATAGATAGATAGATCGATAGATAGATCAATCGCTTGATAGATAGATAGAGTCCCTCAGAAGATTTCTTACAGAAATTAAGGATACTGATAAGCAGTAGCCCCTCAGTATTTTAACATTCTTAGATCTGGGCCCCTCTAACACCCTGGTTTTCTCTGCATCCTAACTTGAGGGGAATGATAAGAGTGGTGGAAGGGTGTCTCTTTTGTCCTTATGGTTTCTATTGTGAAAACTAATGTCATCAATAAAGAGGTGTTGACATACATCGACGAGAACTTGAAGATTTCGGCACGCTTTTACAAAAACAAACGTGCTGAGCAGTGATGTTTTATAAATCTTATGGCATGTAGATATAAATATAAAATCACTGTTCCATTTTTTATCAGCTATTTGTATTGCTCCAGGGAAAGCATCCTTACAGAGCGAAAAAAAAACAGCATCGTCGCCCAGCACGCGCGCACACACGGGCGCATGTACGCGCACGCACATACACACTTAGAGGACAGCATGGCTGTGATGTAAAAAAAAAACAAAACAATTGTCTCGTTCTCATGACGCGATGGCTAACAAAGCCCCTGATTAAACCGGCCTCCCCACTGCAGGCTCGGGTCACATTAGATATAAATGATGTCACTCACCCTCGCCGGCCCAGGCTATACCGGGGGATGGCGAGGCCACAAGAGGGGGCTGATGAAGGTGGTGGGGGTGGGGGTGGAGGTCGTCTTTGTTTCACATTTCATCTGCACTAACCTCCCCCCTCTGTTGCAGTGGCAGCTTTGCTGCTTCCTTTGTTACATACACTGAAGGCAGCAGCCTCCCCCCCCCCCCCCCACATAGGAATATGCCCACTCTAGCATCAGGGAGAACGCAACATTCAGACATGCAGAGATGCGTCAGCATGCTTGAATAAGCGAGCGTACAGCCAAGGGCGGCAGTGGACCTTACAAAAAAAGCCACATCAGTGAAACCACACTCCTCGGTGCTTCGCCTGTGACTTGTGTCTAGACAGTCAGAGAGTCACGATGCACTACCTGCTAAACAGAGTGGAAGACGCTTATTCATGTAAAAGAAAAAATTCCACCTACAGTCTCTGCCGGTGAAGCCACTGACTAATCTGCTGCGAGACACACTGCTGTCCTTCACTTCAGATCACTGTGAATATTTCCATATATATAACTGTATAGAGCGAGCTAAGATTAGCAGTTTTGCTTTAGTAAAGAGTTCAGCACAGCCACCACATGACTACATCATTTAGATCAGATGCGTCCGCACTTTTTTTTTTCTGGCTCGCCAGCTACTATTCCAATGACCGGGCTAAAGTGATATATGTACATTGAAAAGTACATTAAATATATATTTACGCAAACTAAAAATAAATTATACGAACATCATATGCTGGGGTGCTAGTTATACACACATATATACACCCAAACATATATATACATACAGTATATACATATATACACATGTATACACACACATATATACACGTATATATATATATATATACATATATACCCAAAAATATATATATACATGCAGTATATACATATATACACATGTATACACACACATATATACACATATATACACACGAATATATATATATATATACATATATACCCAAAAATATATATATACATACAGTATATACATATATACACATGTATACACACACATATATACACATATATACACACATATATATATGCATATATACATACATATATACACAAAAATATATATATACATGCAGTATATACATATATACACATATATACACACATATATACATACATATATATACATATACACACATATATATACATATATACATACATATATACATATATACACACACACATATACGTACATACATACAAACACACACTCACACACACATATATATATATATTTGAAACTGTATATGCCTTTTATTTCGTTAATAACTATGGACCTTAATTGAACAGGGCTCCATCCACGCCGTCAACGTAGCATAAATATAGTTTTCTGGTGATGTACAGTAAATGTCACTTTAATTCATCCATTTTACCGCCCGTTATCCTGTTAAGGTGCCTTTTTACTCAGTCGATGCATGGTGGATTGTTATGACACAATGCTTTTACTGTGTATTATCACTGAGCTCGAATGACAACTGAACCTTTATTTTCATTTAGTAAACCATTTTTGCAAAGAGGCAAATCAATGCGGCAGGGTTGTACAACAGCAACCGGCGATTCCGTAAAATATGCCCATCACAAATTTGTTTAGTCATCTTTTTTTGAAGTTGTTCGACCGAACAAGGGGAGTTAAAGAAGAACGACGTTTTGCTAAATCCTGACCGGTGTTAACTCACTCTCTCCCTTTCTCCTGCAGATTAAAGTGACTGCCTTTGAAAGACGTCACTTTCCACACTCCATCTCGCACCTGAAACACACTCACTCACCCATGCATTATTCATACGCAACGCACATCAATGAAAGGCTGGCTGCTTTGTGCCTCCTGTAGCTAATCTCCGCCGTCATTCTTTGAGTTAGGAGTAATAAAAAAAAACACAGAAAGAAACGGTGATGCTTATTTTACATCACATGGGAAAATGACAGCGGCTTTTTTTTTTCCTTCAGTGAGTGCAACAACAAAGTCATTTGACAGACGCTGATTTATTAATGCACGCTGGCCCAGCAAGGACCCACAACTCCCTGGCACATGCGGGATGTGGCCCACTTTCTACAGGGGCTGATGTATGTACGCATGTGCCCGTGCATGTCACAGGGAGCCCTTTCATCATGTGTGAAGCGGAGGTGTTCTGATATATCTCAGTTAAAAGCGAGGTGAGTAAAAAGACTGAGCAGCGTCGTGGAACCTGACGAGCTCGGAGCCCGGGGTGGCGTCAATCTGTGAAGTGTTATCTAGCCTCGCTGCAGACAATATCAGCATCTGACAGGTGCTAATTGGCAATCACAGTGCTATACGTTCAGTCACGCATTTTTCTTACACCCCTACAGCCGTCCTTTATCTTTTGGAGAATTGCAAAACAGAAGTTGACAAAAAAGCGCTAAAAATAAGCCCAACATGTGATGGCGTAAAAGTAACTAATCTTTGAAACGAAAAAAAAAAAAAAGTCATACGTAGACCGTAGAATAATTAGCGAATTTAGTTTTTGAAATTAGTAGGAGTATTAGTTTTATCAATAGTAGTATAAAAAATGTGATGGTGCAGATATGTATAAACACATCAGTCAGTTTAACCGTTAATTGTTCAGGTGAGCAATACATGAAGCACAGCTATACAGAATATATGTTCACAGAGGGTACATTTAGGCAAGTGAAGTCGGAGCGGTATAATATTTTAGTGTTAACTCACCTCAAAAACCTCGAAAAGTATAACAATACCTTGATACCTTAGTATATAAATATTTATATAATTAATATATAAAAATATATAAAAACATTATATATATAACAAATATATGTATATATATTACAAATATATAAAATGTATATTTATATATTTACACATATATTTGTCTATATACATGTGTTTGTATACACATATTTGTCTATATACATGTGTTTGTATACACATATGTATATATGTGTTCATATATCTATATGCTAGATATCATATAACATATAGATATATAAATATATAGAATATATATATATATATAGAATATATAGAATAGAATATATAGAATAGAATAATATATACATATATTTATATATGTATGTATATATTTATGTATATATGTGTATATATATGTACATATATCTGGTGTGTATATATATATGTATATATACATATGTATATATATATATATATATATACACACACACACACACACATATATATACAAATATATATACACATATATTGATACACATCAACACTATGCTCGATGAACGTACCTCTTCGGGAAGGCTAACGACCAAGTCATTTTCCGCCTGCCCCACCAAGGCCTGTAGGAAGTACTCGCTGCAGGCGGCCAGCACGGCCCGGTGCCCACGGAACTCCTTGCCCTCCGCCAGGACAGTCACATCGCACAGGATATCCTGCTTCCGCTGGTCGTTCAGGCAGAGGAGGATATTAGTACAATGAACTGTCGACTCATACACATACATGGGGGCTTCAGGCTTCACATCCACGGACATTCCGCTCACGCCCTGAAAACAGAAAACAGAACAGAAGCTTAAAGCCGAGTCCAATGAGCGCAGACATGGCCTGCCGCTGCTGCTGCTGCTGACACACACATTATCACTCTGCACGCCACGTACGATGCAGTTATTTACACAAGGCCCTCGATGCAGACAGACTTCCTTCTTCCAGGATGATGTCATCAACAGACTAGCTAGCACTTCCAGTCTAAATATACCTCCGCTAAATCGATGCAAATGGACTGGGTTCTGTTTTCATTCATGACCTAACCTTGCACTTACTGTCGCAGAACTCTTGGCTTACATTTCAGGGTTTTTTTACGTAACGACAATCAGTGCTGTAAACGTAACATTATGCAGAATATATAGAATAGAATAATATATACACACATATATATACATATATTTATGTATGTATGTGTATATATGTGCATATATATGTGTGTATATAATTCAGATTTATTTTGTTTATGCTGCTGTGCAAAGTCATGCACAAGAGGGCAACCTCTCGAATAAAAAAAAAAAATTCAAAAATATAATAATTATAAAATAGTATATTTTTACATAATCTAAGAAAAACAAACCGATCAAAGTCTACCTTTTATTAACAATACAGCTACTTTGCAACCGCAGGTAAAAGTGGCCCAGATCACCCATATGTGACGCACATCTGTTGTTTTTTTTGTGTGAGCAGCACAGGCCCGACCCAGACCACATCATCTGTGCATGGAGGTCACATCAGGGACAAAGGCTTTTTACACTGGAGAAAAAAAAAAAAAAAATCTGATCTCAGCCTGCAGTGTGAACAGAGACGTTCACTGTTTAAACCATGATTACCATACAGTCTAACAGCCAAGATAAAGCGAGGTCGCCCCAGTGTCGGAGTGTGGGTCTTCCCTCGGACTGAACTTGGAAAAAAGATGCAATCTGGTTCTAATTTTTTATTTTTTTATTATTATAAACTTGTTAGAGATATGTTACTTTTTCAGGACTGCAGTATTTTCTTTACGGTAAGGGTATCAAACATAAGGCCCGCGGGCCAAAACCGACGTTCAATCCTGCTCAATTGTTGAATTTTGAAAACAAAATAATACACAAACTCTTCATGTTCAGGATATTGTTTACACATAAAATCAAATAATATTGCATTGAATATAAATACATGCAAAGAAGTACAAGTATATTAGAAAATATTCATATTTAATGAAATATAATTTATAAAAACATCATAGACATAAGGTGTTTGTGCATTTTTTTTCACTTTCAAAAAGTGAAAAAAAAAAACCTTTTTTTCACTTTTTACACTTAGGTCAAAACTAGGGGTGTCAAACATATGGCCCGTGGGCCAAAACTGGCCCGCTAGGGTTTTCAGTACGGCCTGCTTGTTGCTTTTTGAAAAAAAATAAAAAAATACACAAACACCACATGTTCAATATTGTTTTGTAAAATTATATTTCATTAAATATGAATTAATAATAATAAATATTTTCTCAAGCCGGCCGGATTGAACCTTCTAGCGGGCCAATTTTGGCCTGCGGGCCGTATGTTTGACACCCCTGACTTACAGTGTACCGTCTGTGTTATGAATTGGGGAAGTAGCTACTGCTTCAATTCAATGTTGACAATATCAGAAGCAAGAGGAAATGAGGAGGCGGAGCTAACACGTACAGAGTAAAGCAAATATTACAGGATATGTCTCGGAGATATTATATCTTTTCGTCGTTAAGAATTCTTTAAGTGGATGTGATTACCGCTGCCACACGTTATGGCCTCAGAATAGATGGTGTGAATGTCTGTATTTACAGTGACACAGTGGTGTAACCTCATTATGCAGGTGGAAGCAACTCTCTTTAACTTAGTGTAAAATAGTCTTCCTGAAGTGTAAATGGAAAAAAAAAAAAGGAAGTGAGAGTTGTTTTTTTAAAATTTAAATTAATTCATGAGATTTTATGCACATTCTGAATTCCTATTTTTTTTCTATTGGGGAATATAGTCTTACACTAACAAAAAAAAAATCCCATCATGAATAATTGTTTGACAAATAAGTGCTATAATACACACGATACAACTGTAATCTATTACTGTTGGATACTTTTATACTGGTTATTTATGAATCTGCCAATACACCCAAGATCATTTTTTAGAGTTATTTCTGCTGAGTTTCGCTGGAGCTCGGCACTGTGATTCAACTAAGAAAAATGTCATGAAAGACCTCAAAAAAGAAAAAAAACTCAAGTTGTTCACATCTGGAAAACATCCAGTGAGAATCCGTTCTGATCAAAAGCCCAGAGTGGAAGAGAGGGGAAAAAGGGCGTGATGCGACGTACTAGTGCGTGTAAACCAGATAAATTATGCCACTGACTGAGCAAACGCACGACCTTCTATTGACCCCAGTCCCACCGACCTCCGTAATCTAACTCGCGGCGACATCCGACGCAAGGCAAGTGAATTCTTTCAGCTCCGAGACTAGCGCGAGAGAGGTCAACGTTCTGTCTGCGATCAAAAAACGGCTTCAAAAGTCCTTTAATATCACTCCGTTCTAATTGTTTATGTGCGACGGCGTGATTGCGACTGCTGATGCATCTGCTGCTTGCTAGTGCAGCTCACTCACAGTGTGGCGCAGGGGTGGGTTGGGGGGGGTGCGGGGGGGGCAGCTGTGGAACAACTGTGTCAGTCCAGACTTATGCTGTGGTGGTTCTGCCTTGTTCAAATCTTGTGGGGTTTGCTCATTTCACCGTACGTTTCTCAGTCGGCTTCCTCAGATAATGACCTGTCTTCCAAGAATAATGTTTCCAGATGCGGTTGCGAGGTTCGGCGCAACCCAAACATGCTATTTCTACTCTTCACTTTTGGACTTCAAGGTTTTGTTGCAGTGGTAAGGAAAATGCAAGGATGACACAAACACACTGGCAACACACGCGAGCATATTTTTGTCAAAAACACACGACCGGACAGGCGTAGCCACATTTCCAGATACACGTCTTAACACAGCAGGCAACAGTGGGTGGACTGGAAATGCCGATTATAAAAAAAAAAAAATCCGCTCCGCACGAATATTCTGCTATTTAAAGGGTTGTTTTAACTGTGAGAAGCAGCAAAGATTTACTGTATGTTGATGATGACTCGCTCTCTCTCTCTGGAAGATGTGATCAATCAAATGTTACAGCCCGACGTAGGACATTTTCCTCTGTTGAATTTCTGCACAACAGTTAATGACAGTGGTTACATTTTCTACTGTGGGAATTATCACAACCTAATATATTTTTTTGTTGCCGTGTTTGTTCCCTTATAAATTTATGGCATTCGGTATTCTCCAAGACTGTCAGTATGGTTGTTGCATAATTTACAGAGTTGAAGTCCATGTATGCAACAGTGTGTGCAACATGTCTGTATGTATATATATATGTAAATATACGTATATAAATATATATATTTATATATATTTATTTATATATGTGTGTCGATATACATATATATATATATATATGTATATCGACACACATATATAAATAAATATATATAAATATATATATTTATATATATTTATTTATATATGTGTGTCGATATACATATATATATATATATATGTATATCGACACACATATATAAATAAATATATATAAATATATATATTTATATATATTTATTTATATATGTGTGTCGATATACATATATATATACCTACAGATATGTATGTACATACATATATTTATATATACATATACACATACATACATTTTTTTAACAATGGTATTGTGGCAAGAATATACGTAATAATAACATTGGTGTTCCAGCAGTTGCACCGACAGTCTATATGTGCCATGTTTGTTCCTTATATATGTATGGCATTCTCCAAGACTGTCAATATGGTTGTTGCGTAATTTATACAGTTACAGTATGTGTGTGTATATGTAAATATATGTATGTATATATAAATTGACATATATTTATATATATGTATTTATATATGTGTGTGTCGATACACATATATACCTACATATATACGTACATACATACATTTACATATACACATATATGTGGTATATATGTAGTATTTTTAATATTGAGCATTTTCTCAGTGATGGCATTTTGGCAAGAATATACGTGTGATAATATTAGCATTAAGTGTTGCAGTGTCTATATGTGTATGTACTGCATTTTTTTTCTTTTCTTAGCACCTTTAGTGATTTCACCACAGTTGAGATTCTTGTGGGGACGGTGAGACAGATCTTTAAACCTCAAATTAGGCACCTCATATGAATTTTCATGCTTCAGTTTATCATAAAAGCAAACGGTAGCGATCACTTACAGAGGGGGGAAAAAAAAAAGACATTAGAGAGATGAGGAGAACAAGCAGCGGGAGCCTGAGTCAGCACTGGCCTGACACTCATATTAATGTGGTCTTGGTGTGGGGAATTTAATGAGTGACAGAGTATCATAATGTGCTCACTGGTGTGATGCGCCTTCCTCCACCCCCCTTCACTGGGCCTCAGCAGAACGACGTGAAGGATGTGTGGAAGGAAGAGGCGGAGCGGGGGCCATGACAGATTAAAAACATGTATAATGTAGAGAAGTCAGACAATATTAAATATTGTCTGACTTCTCTACATTATACATTTGTGAATTTCTGCAGCGTCAGCAGTTGAGTCATGATGTAAAAAAAAAACAAACAAAACCCCAAAACTCATTATCTGTAATTCTCTTTCATTTAACACCTAATGACACTAAAAGTGATGATATGGAGGCTTCCTGTTTTTTTTTTTCTCTCTGCTTCTGGCAAAATGCGATTACAATCACCTCTGCAAGTACCGAGGACTTTGATGTGGCACTTTGCAGCTGAGCATGTTGAAAAGCAGAAGCGTAATCCCAAAACTGGCTGCAATTGACAGGAAAATGCATCTACAACCCTTTTAAATTCTATCACCGTACTGAGAAAACTACACTAAGGTGAATTCTGTGAAAGGAAATGCGTGTTTTATTTGATTTTGATTTGATTTTTTCTCTCTCAA